AGGACGAGTCGGGTGTCTCGTACTCGAAATCGAATTCGGTAACGGTATACGGTACTCGGTATCGATCGCAGCGTCGTTGCAGACACTGACTCGTCGCACACAATGTTGAAATGAAAATGCGGCCCGGCCGTATTGCTAACCAAGATTTTATATCGCGTGAAAGTTTTGACCCCTTTCTGTTCGTTGCTCGAGCGTTGAGACGGCGGCTGAGACTGAGAGCTGCCAGCTGCCAGAGAGTCGCACGCTTGAGAGAGAGAGAGAGAGAGAGAGAGAGGGAGAGCGAGAGAGTAAGAGCACAGGCAAGTGCGAGAGTGTGTGCGAATACTGAGATGAGAGAGCGAACATGCAAAACATGCAAGTTTTCGGCAATTCTTTTTTGGGCGACACGAACCCACAAAAACCCGAAACTGGCTTTTGCAACTTTTCATTTCAGGCCGCTTTCTGCGGGCGCTTTTGTTTTGGCCAAGGTAACTGATGACGTCGAGTGTTGCCTAATGGCCATTGTTATTCACAAAGGGATATACAGCGGCTGATTCACCAAATAACTGTGTCTTTGGATTGACGTCGCTTATTATTATTCTGGCCAATGCATTGGAAAATTAAATTATGGATCCGTGTTATGCAATGCACTTAATTATATAATGCTTTGAATAAATAACTGCTGTGTTTTGGATGTGTTAATTGTGTTGACTAAATCATCATTAGGCGTTGACCTTTGTCTTGCGTGTAGCGGAATTAAATGAATAGTTTAATTCGTTTTATGTAGTGCTTTAAAAAAGATAAAATTAACCGTACGAAAATGAGCAAGTTCGTTGTCTAAGTCTTTTGTATGTTTTGTAATTATATTATTAAATCTTAACATGTTAAACAAATTGTCTTAAGACAAACATAAGTATGAAACGGTATAATTTCCAAGAATTGATAGCGTTATTTTGTATACAACAATATTCAATTGATTATATGATAATTTGATATTTATTTATGTATTGTGCTGTGCTCAATTTGTCAGTCTTAAGTTGTGCCAAAAATTCGCTAAGTACTCCACTTATTTCAACAATCAACGCAATTTTCGATGATGAAATGGCGCAAATATTTTTGGGCCACAAGCAAGAGTGAAATGGAAATGCGAAGAAGACGAAACGCAAAATCACCAAAAGGGGGATAAATATGTATAGCGCTGTCAATTGGCTACACCTAAGTAGCCTGGGCCAAATAAACAGCCACGATCCGTGAACTTTCATTTACGGTCGAGCATTCGCCAAATTCATGCGCCTTGGCTGCCCAAGCGATGACAGCATTCGAAAATACCCAAAGAGACAGCAAGTAGATGAAGACGAGCATGGGACACACCCGTCTAATCGAAAGAAATCGAAAGTTCCGGCTCAGTCAGCGACTTGGTTTCGATTTCGTTCAAAGGCATTGGTCACATTTGGATTGTTATTGTAATTATTGTTGTCGCTGTTGATGTTGTTGTTGTTTTAGCTGTCGCACGCCGGATCTGGTGTGATTCATTTGCCGTTACTTTTGTGTGACGTTTATCCTACCTACCTGCGTATCATTTATGGTACGGAGTCGTCAGTTGACGATCATCAGTTACGCCGGCGTTGAAACTCAAAATTGGGAATTGGGTCAGGGACGTGCACGGCATGCTAATCAAATTATGCCCACACTTTGCATATGACGCACTAGAAACTGTAATTCGTTGAGATGTGTCGCAACTTGCAAGTCAATGCGGGCATTTTCCACAGAACGGTTGAAGGTCGAGCCAAAGAAATTATGCAGGTATGTAATGTATGGGAAGTTGAAGAGTTATCTTTATGGTACTGATAAGATTGTCCTAAGTTATAAAATATTGAACCTATGGACCATTTTGAGTAAGAGGACCCTTGCCTAACGTGAAAACTAAAGTGAAGTGTGATTTAATCGTATCACAAATATGCATTAGTGATCCATAATTTGTAAGTATCTATTTATATTTATTTCTATCGATTCATAATCAGTGAGATATAATCACCACTCTAAAATAGTCGTTTTGATAAATTAACAATAAAATATTCAAAGCAGTCACAATCGAAGTCATTTTTCACACATTATTTGTTCAGTATGTTTTTGTTTGAAATGGTTAAAATCGCTGATAAACAAAACCAACACCAAATCATTTCTAACTCTTGGACGCATTACTTTGCCAGATTCATTCAGTTATAGTTTTATGGTAAGTAACCAGTTATATGACAACGTTTTGCACAATTACTTGGCCTTTTCTTTACGTTGAATGCAGTTACGAGAATAACGGTGACCAGATTTAAGGTCTTATTGTTGATTAAACACAACTCTATTGTGACCGGCGCCGATCCCATTGAAGTCGATGTCAATCATTATGCAAGTCCCGCTCTGAACTTCGGTCAATGTGCTTAACTCTCTCAATGGAGTTGCTGGGCTCCCAATTTGCTCTCAAACCTTCCACTTCACTTTCCATTTCTTTTGTTTGTATGTCTTTTCTTTCATTACATTACTTTTTATGTGTTTTTGGTTTTTCTTTATTGCTGTCGTCGGCCCTTAATTGCATACTATACTTATATGAAAAGTATAATAATATAAGTATAGATATAATTTTGCATATAGACAATGAACCTCGGTCACCTGCTGCAGTTAAATTTTGTTTTGACTTAGGCATTGGGTCAGTTTACTTTACAAATATTAGTATTATTTTTGCATATGTAATATGTAGAGCATCTATAGGCTGCTGCACAATCGAATTAGTTGCACATTTTCGCTTTCAATACCCACCCATTTTCTTACTGTGCATATTTTATTATAATCGATTTCTCGCTCTTGAGTTTTGTTTTTATTTCGGCTGCTGTGCCCTTTTGCTGTTTTTTGTCTAGTGCTGCATAAAAATGCGGCTTAATTATTGTTTTATGCATATGAAGGGGTGTGTGTGCTAAACTCAAGTTTGTGTGTGTGTGTGACTGAGTCATGAGCCATATATCACTTTCACTCGCCAAAAGACAACAAATAGCAATGGGGCAAAAATCTCAATCAGCCGGACCAAAAAAACCAAATGGCAAATAGGCGACTCTCAGTCCGAAAGGAACAACTACAACAGTAAAAAAAAAACTGCATTTATTTGTGAAAAATGCTCTCAAATTTATACCCCACTTAAATCCAAAAGGCTCTTTTCTTGGTTTATGATTGCGTAAGCCCCTAACTTTTGCCAAAAAAAATAAAATATATAAATAAAATAAACCATCTGGCGAGCACAATAGTTTTCTAAAAGTCTTAAGAAATCGGCATCCATCACGTTTTGTTTGCCTTTGCGATTGAATTCCAATTTCCAATTCCAGCTCGAAGACAAATAGCCAAAAGCGAATAGTATTTATCTAACTCATTGTGAAAGACGTTTTCAAACGGATAGTATTGTCGATATTGTGTATCTTACAGTTTAGTCGCAAGATTTTCACTTTCGTTCGCTTACCAAAAAAAAAAGATACCCAAAAGATATTTACACACAGACACACACGCACATAAACACCTCTTATTGATAGCCAAATATCCATGCGTATGCAAATTAGCTCAATGCCGACAACAAGGCGCAGAAACTACCGTAAGTGGCCAAAAGCAAAATCTGTGATATAGAGACGTGAGAAGAGATGAACGCTAAGAGTTGTTCCAGCTACAACAACAAGTAGTCGTATATATATATATATATATATACATATATATAGATATTACAACTACGCACGGCCGACAACAGTTAACAGTTTTTAGTTGTTTTTTTTTTTTTTGGCAAATGAAAGAGAAATTGTGTGCGGCCGGCCGACAAAAGTTTTATATGCTAATTGGTGCGTTCGAGTCTTAAGAAAATCAGCAACCAAAATGATATGATGGCTGCGTCTGCGCTTTTTGAGGGAGTTGTGCAGCTGTTAATTAATCTAATAGATAACGGTATTCCAATAAACATTAAACATTTTTATAAATTTATGAAACTGTAGTTGAATGAAGATAGGTACAGTCCATGCATTGAAGTATTTCTTTTCTTTATTATTTTATTTATAGAAACTATTACGAATTTTGCCATAAACATTTGTGGCTTGCATAAATGGTCAATGCTGGCGCTTTCTATGTATCTTGGGTTTTGCATTGGATTAGTCAAAGGTTATGCAACATGGTCGAATTTTGTTAATGTGTATCATTATGTATCCGAGAATGGGGCACAAAGTGAAATGCTAAAAATGGAATTTGACAGGCAGCCTAAGCGATTTGGATATCGCTTTGGTTTTCAGCTTCGCTAAAAATAATGTTAATTAAATCTTATACTTCAGAAAATAGCTCGTGCGTCGAGGGTGAGTAAAGCCAGTGTTCAATTAAATTTTAATTATTATTTTGTGTGTGTACGCTTAAAATGGATAAATATCGGCCGGGGCAACGGACCGGGGTTACTTAATGACCCTCTGCCAAAAACAACTTTTAGCTGTAAACTGTGAAAGAAATGAAAAGAGATGCGGAGAAAGCATCGACAGGCAAAATCAAACCAACTGCAACAATTCGCCAACAACAAAAAGCATAACAGGTGAAATATCTTTATCTTTATATTTTGACTTTAATTTGAAAGTTAAATTATGATAGATCGCATATCCATCGTTCGCAAGATTTAATGTGTTTTTTTTGTGTGTGTGTGTGTGTTTTTCAATTCTGCTGCCTATTGACCTTCCTGCGGAATTTCTTGAGACACTCGAGAAACTGGATGGGATGATCGTCAATATGGATGCAAAGATTCGTGATCTAAACGAATACATTAAACGGGTGTGCCATAGATCACTTCATTATAGTAATTTAAATAATGATCGGTAAATATAAGTGCTGCCACCTCACTGCTAAATAAATTGTCTCGTTAGAGCTGCCAACTGCTCTCAAATTAATCAGCTGTTTGCCTTCGCGCCAAATTGAGCTGTTGAGCGTACCTTAGTGTGCGTGTTCAACTGCAATATTGTTTTATTTGATTGGAAAAAAGTAACCCAGAATTATGAGTGAATCAGCTCGAAAATCTGCGACTGCAGCAGAATGTGGCGAGAAAGAAGACGATGAATCTATGGAAAAGCTGCACATTGACGATGAAGACGAAAAGAACGTTTCGGCTGAAGATATTTTGGGTGGCAAAACTTTGATAATGTCGGATAGCGAAAATGAAGAAGAGATGCCTGCTGAGTCAGCATCAGCAGGTAAACAAATAGCACCCAAAAACAGAACACAAACTCTGCTGGACAGCGATCAGGAGGATGAAGACGATGATCAGCAGGCCAAGACGGAGGTGAAAATGGCAGTGGCTTCAAAACCTAGGAAAAAAATATCGGCAATTATTGACTCGGACAGTGAGCAAGAGGAGGAGCAAGATGAGAAGACAGGTCGGGAGGAGGAGAAAAAGGAATATAGCGAGACTGAAGAGGAAGAATATAAGTCCAAGCCAAAGAAAAAAATATCGGCTATTATTGACACAGACAGCGAGGACGATGAAGAGAAGAAACAAGAGATGGAGGCTAATCTAAAGAAAAAGGTGAAGAAGCAGGAAAAGAAGATGAAGAAGACACAACGTTTGGAAAGCAGTAGTGAGGAAAGTAGTGAAGATGAAAAACCCAACGATACAGGTAGAGAGCAAAATAAGCTCAAAGGCATCGTCGATTCTGAATCCGAGTCCGAGGAGCACAGCTTAACTGTCGACAAAGGGACAACTGACCCCTCTACAGACAAGCCAAACATATCGGTACCCAAGCGTGTGAGTATGGAAATCCGCTTAAATATTTATTTTCCAGTGAAAACTCCTTACAAATGTTTTCTTTTCTATTGCAGGCCTCAGCTAAGAAAGCTCTGGACGGAATTCAGGCCTTACAAAGCGAGCAGCAGCGACTGCATCGGGAGGCACACATTAGTGTACCCTATCATCAGCCTAAGCCGCGCACGCTGAAGGAGTTCCTTGGTCGACGCACGATAAATAGGCCGCTGGCCATGGCTCTGGCCGGTGGTAGTCCGATGCCCAACAAGAAAGAGTCGCAAAGATCGTTGGGTCTTCGAATGACCAGCGAAGAGCTGCAGGCATACGCGTAAGTGAATTCCCAATTAATCAGAGAGTTTACTCAACCTTGTTTATGCAGCAAGCTGATGGATGAGCGTGCCAAAGAGGCCACAGAGTTTTTCAAATCTGAATCCGAGCATGATGAAGACAGCGGTGAAGAGAATACAACAGAAGAGCCAGAGGAACCAAGAGAGCCAACAAAAGTGATGCAAGAAGTTGTAGAGGACTCTTTAGACCTGCCAGAAGCAGAGCCAACAATTGAGATTGACATGGCATCTACTAAAGATGAATCTGCACAAGAGATTGAACCCATAACTGAGCTGGTTTCGCCCTCAAAAGCAATGCTTGTCACTGAAGTTGTGGAGCTGCCCAAATTAGATTTGAGTGCATTAAACATTACGCCACCTTCGAAGCCAACAACACCACGCATTAGCGAAGCTATTCGACGCCTAAGGGACGAGAAGAGCAGCGATATGAGTCCGTCGTTGAAGGGAGATGCTAACATGGTCATTGATCTGGAAACCGGTGACATGTTTGCCAAAAAAACAACTGGCGTCGATGATCTACTGCAACGCTTGATGAAGACCCGCGAGGCCAAGAAACACAAGACGACGGACACTGTGAAGTGAGTAAAGAAAAGATTTAGCTAGCTACCATATCTAAATGTGAAATCTCCTCTAGCATTTTATCCACTGCACATGGCAAGTTAGAGCTGTCCAAGGTGAGCATACATCTGCACGAGGATGAGCCCGTTAACAAGGAACAGAAGCCAGGCGCTGCCTTCATCAAAATGCAGGAGGATCTCAAAACGTTGATCAATAAAAAACGTATGGATGAGCTGCGTAAGAAGCAAGCTGATGAAATGGAAGCTGAAGCAGCTGAAGACGAGGACATGGATGTCGATGAAGAATATGAACCAGATGATAAGCCATGCAAAAGTCAAGTTATCATTAACGAGGATGAGGAAATAGTGGATAGAGAGATTGATGAGAATGCCGGAGAGGATAATGAATCAGAGGGAGAAATAAACGAAGCTTGTGAAGCAGAGCTGGAAGCAGATTCAGCAGGAGAGGCAGAGGAAGCAGAGGCAGACAGCAGCAGCGACAGTGAGCAGGAGAGCGAACCCGAACCCGACAATACACAGACGGGCAAGCGTAAGAACCGCATTATACGCGCCTTCCAGGACGACAATTCCGATGAGGATGACGATGTCGACTTGCTGCAGACACCCAAGCCAAGCAAAGTGGCGCCAATGACGGCCACCCAACTGCAATTATCCGCCCACAAGTTATTCGATACGGAGATGGAACGCACGGCGAGCGATGAGGAGAACGAACTGCTCGGCTTGTGCTCCGGCAGGTTTACGCAATCGGAGGTGTCATCAATAGCACCAACCACGATTGGAGCACTCATAAGTCAAATACCTATAACACAAGCAACACCCCAAACTCAGGCACCCGATGAATTGGAGGCGTTGTGTTCGGGCAAATTTGAAACGCAGCCGGAGCCGGAAACAAATAAAATATTGTCCAGCGATGAAGAGCCGCCGGCAGAAGAACTGGAGACGGAGAAGCCGCGAAAGAAAAAGTTGACCAAGAAACGACAGAAGAAGAAAGCCAAATTGGGTTTCTCTGATGATGAAGAAAGTGATGAAGATGCAGATGACCTTGAGGATGAGGAGCAATTAGAGGGTAGCGAACTGGAAGAGCCAGCAGTCGAAGTACCCGAAGCATTCGTTGACTATGACTCCGAGGAGAATGAAATCGTTGTCGAAATGACAAAAAAAGATCGCAAGTTGCGTGCAGCGAACTTTGTAGAGAAAGAAGCCGAACTATCTGAATCCGAATGGGGTTCGGCGGATGAGGATGAAAAGAATATGGACGCATACGACTTTGAACTGGGCGACGAGGATCAATTTGATCGCGAGAAATTGCGTCACGAACTGGGACAGATTCATGCGTAAGTAATTTGTCATTTTCACAGCAATTGGTTAATTAAATTTCTTACAGCCGTAAAATGCTTGATCAGGATATAAGAGAGGTGCGCAAGATTAAGGATATGCTCTTCGAGGATGATGAAGGTGCAGTGCGTCAGCGTCAGTTTCGATGGAAAAATGCTGAAAATGATTTGGGTTTTAGCCTGGATGATTCTCGACTTGAGAAGGGCGATGGCGAAGCCAACGAGGGCAGCGGCGACGAGGAGAACGAGCATCTCTGGCGCAAAGTTCGCTACGAGCGAGAGCAATTGCTGCTGGAGAAGGGTCTAAAGAGGGTAAATGATATAGTACCTAATATGATATTATTTACTAATCATTTCTACTTACAGGAAACAACTGGCACCGCTTCTCCTCTCTCACCAGCTGTGGCAAATAGCAACACGACTGGTGGCACAGTGCGCAAGCTGACCATTATAACGGCCAAGAAGACAACGATGGAGATGAAAAAGAATTCGCCATTTTTGATCTCAAAGAGCGTAAACTCCGCCCAACAGCAGCAACAGCAACGAGCTGTGCGTGGCTCATTCTTAGTGCGGGACAAGGAGACACTCAATAAACTTGCAGGCATGACAAAAGGCGCTGCTGGCGACGTGGACGGAACAGCGGGCACTGTTTCCGTTAATACGGCCCGGGCCAAAAACTTTGTGTTCGCCACGCTAACGGAGGAGGAGCATGAGGTGTGTAGCTATATTATTTGAAACTCAACCTATGTATTTATTTTTCATATTTGCTTTTGCAGACTCAAAAACGCAAAGCTGCTGATTTGTTAAACAGCAGCAGCGAGACTGGCGTCAATTTGATGAAAAAACCACGTTTGGAGCCACGACGGGATAAGTGCCTTATAGATCAGTTGCTTTAGTTGCTGTGTGCGCAATCCATTTTATTTTTAAAATACATTTTTTAAGTTAAGCATAAGTATTTTTTAAAAAAGATTAACCTACTAATTGCTGTTTAATTTTAATAAAAATTTAAGTTAGGCACATTTTGCTTCTATTCGAATTATTTCTAAAAAGATTTAATATTTGTTTATAATTGTTAATATTATGAAAGTTGCCATTTTAAATGCGAATAGATAATTTTGATGGACGTTTTGCCATTATCAGAATATTTGACATACATGCAAAATTATTTAATCTGCGACTTTCTAAAACACAAAAAAAAAAACTACTTTTATAATTATTAATTTTATTACGTGCTAAAATGAAAGTCAAATATTTAAATATGAATAGCCGACAGCCGACAGCCGGCGTTAACAGCACTGTAACAGACAATCCCCGCGGCCGCTTTGCAACACTGACGCCGCAACAGAAAAGGAAATTGCAAAAAGCGTTTGTTCAATGCAAGTATCTTGTTATATTAGTCACTGGCTGAATTAACGCTAATGCAATTACCGATCGCAGCAGCTGGGAAGCTAACGAAGTAACCGACGACGACGGTAACGACGTCGCACGAACCCCGGAGCTGCTCTAATCTAATCTGGCCAATCAAGCTAGAAGCAAATTCGTCGTCTTTTCGAGTTCACCTTTAGCCGGCGTCGTTGGTCAAGTCAGTCAGTCGCTGGACGCCGCACAAATATTAATTAACTGCTGGAAAAAAAACGCAGATACAATTCCAAAATGGTCGCTCAATCGAAACTTGGCCAGGTTTTTAGCTATCAAAACTGGGTGCATGCCGTCTCCGGCGCAGCGGTAAATAAATTAATATTAACACGAAAACTAAGCTTCAATTTCCGTTTATCAATTTTAATTAGGGTGGCTGCATTGCGATGAGCACCTTCTATCCGCTGGACACAGTGCGCTCGCGCCTCCAATGTAAGTAAAAAGTATTCCGGATTATCTTCCGTTGAACTGATAAGCATATTGCGGCGGCTAGATAAACATTGAACGCATTCCCAAAGTCCACTCAGAATTTAAATTAATTAATGCTTTCCGTAAATGGGGTTTTGTACAACATTGAAAAGGGTATTATGATTATGGAGTGTAGTTTGTAACACCCTAAAATATATATATTCTCGATCAGCAGCAGCAGACGAGAAGATAAATAATAACATATATATTTATAAAAAACAACAAATAATTTCTTAGATTTAAACCAATCCTAAAGAAACATGTAAATCTTTCCACAAGAGTATCTTATCTTCGGTGTGTTCTCCTTTTCGTTGCAGTGGAGGAGAGCGGCGAGGTGCGCAGCACCAAGCAGGTCATCAAGGAGATTGTGCTGGGCGAGGGCTTCCAGGCGCTGTATCGTGGACTGGGTCCAGTGCTGCAGAGCTTGTGCATCTCGAATTTTGTCTATTTCTACACATTCCATGCCCTCAAAATGCTTACGTCGAATGGCTCGCGTGGACAGCAGAGTGCGCTGAAGGATCTGGTGCTCGGCAGCATCGCTGGCATCATCAATGTATTTACGACAACACCCTTTTGGGTGGTCAACACGCGCCTGCGCATGCGTAACGTGGCCGGCACATCGGACGAGGTCAATAAGCACTACAAGAGTCTGCTGCAGGGTCTGCGGTATGTGGCCAAGACCGAGGGCATCTTGGGCTTGTGGTCGGGCACGATTCCATCGCTGATGCTTGTCTCGAATCCGGCGCTGCAGTTCATGATGTACGAGCTGCTTAAGCGCAACATTCAGATCTTCACAGGCGATCAGATGGGCAGTCTGAGTTTCTTTTTGATTGGCGCCATTGCCAAGGCATTTGCCACGGTGCTCACCTATCCGCTGCAGTTGGTCCAAACCAAACAGCGGCATCGCACCAATGATGCGGCCAATATTGCCTCCACATCGCAAGACGCGGCGGCTGGCAAGCTAAAGCAACAATCGATGCTTGAACTGATGGTTAGCATCCTGCAGCATCAGGGCATTGCTGGATTATTCCGTGGCCTGGAGGCCAAGATCCTGCAGACTGTGCTGACGGCGGCGCTGATGTTTATGGCCTACGAAAAGATCGCTGGTTTGGTGAAGATGCTGCTCAAGCGCAACGCTTGAGAGGGTCTAGTCTTAGTTTAACTACTACATATATAGTTTTAGATGTAAACTGATAAACATGACAAAGGATATGGACATGGATATGGAAAAGGATACAAATGCATACACTCCAAAGTTAGCCAATAATATTAATAATACAATTCAAATGACAAAAATTTGATTTTAGTGTACATATTTTATTCGTTGTCAACAGTCTCATTCGATTTCTCGTCTTGTTGTGGCAGTTGCCCAGTGGGATGCGTCAGCTCGGATAGATTGTACTTCTTGTTATCCAGGTAGTTGTCAATGACGCTGAGCAGACACCAGCCACGCAGCACCTCGACAATGATTGATTTCTTGGCACTCTTCAGCGCCACTTTGTTGCCCATATTCTTGGAGTTAACCAGATCGGCCAACTCCTTAATGATATGATCACGTTTGATTTGCTGATTGTAGCGATGATTAAAGATGATGCCATACGTGGTAGCCTCCTTGAGGAAGTGTTTGTCAAAGAGTGCTCCAGCGGCATTAATAATATCCGGCATATTGGCACGACACACCGCCTCGATGGGCACCAGGCGCATCACAAAGCGTGACATGGCCTTGCCAGTGGCAATGATATCCTCGACTATATGCCTGCCCAGAGCCAGTGGATCCTCCAGTTTGGTGCGTATAAATAAACAGTTTGTGGTGCCGGTGTCAACATTTTGGAAACGCATTTTGCGCTGGGCGAATGATTCACGACACTTGGCCACAGCCGCATCCAAGTCATCGGAACTATCCGAGTAATCACTGCCATCCTTGTCCTTGTCCTTATCCTTAGCCTTGGTCTGCACTTCCGTTTCCTCTTTCACCTCGGGTCCGTACAATTTATCCGCGTAGTGATTCAACAGATTGTAGCATTCCCGCACGCAGGCCTTCTCGTTCATGTTGCAGGTGACGAGGAAGCCCCGTTGTCCCGGCTGCAGCACCTGCTTTTTATGCTGCTGGTAGTACTTTTTCTTGTTATGCTTGAATTTGTCGTTGACCATTTTCGATTTTTTTATGGCTGGTTCCATTTCACATTTAACACAATGATGGAATTAGAATGTGACCAGCTCACAAAGCACAAACTGATTAAATACCAACAGTGTGAAGTGCGGCGTTGTCAAACACTGAAGTATGATCAGCTGATTTAATTATCAAAATACAGATCGAATTTATGTATATATTTTGAATTGCCAATGTTTGCAGCAGCGGCACCTTTGTTGGAGCTCATCAAATTACTGCCTCGCTTTGCGGACATAGAAGCGCTGCTCGAACATGAAATCGAAGCTCGTTATATACTCAAACGCGCCGCAGATCACTTGGAATTGGGCAAGCTGGAAGGTTCGTCGTCGTCGGAGGAAATTTCATATCTGATTGGAGCATTGGTGGACAAGCATTGGGAGCGCATCCACAGCGGACACTTTAGCAGCGTGCCGCTGGTCATACGCAAGGTCTATGCTCTCGGCTGCTACTTCAAGGTTTGTGTTGGGATAACATTATGTGTGTATGGAGGATAACTTCAACTTTTACCCTCAGTAGATAATTTTTATGCTTTTGGAGAGCACAAGCCATGAGCAACGTGAGAAATGCGGCGCTATTCTGGACGAGGCTCAATTGCTTGGCTGCACAGATAAGCTATATGCAAAGTCTAAAGATCTACAAGCTGCCCTAATGAGCTACCTCGATGAAGATGTTATAGGGAACAACTCAAAGCCTCTACCGATTCTGGCGCCTCTGGAGCGGATCAGCTCACGCTGCGATATACCTCAACTGAATGCACCTAGCATACTGGAATTTCGCAACAGCTGTTATCAGGCAGAGCAGCCAACGCTGCTGCTAAACACAATTAATCACTGGCCGGCAATTAGCAAATGGCGCGATTTAAATTATCTTTTAAAAGTCGCCGGCAATCGAACTGTTCCCATCGAAATTGGTTCGAATTACGTCAGCGATGAGTGGTCCCAGCAGCTGGTAAAAATACGTGACTTTCTTTACAGACAATTTGGCCGGGAAACAAGCAGCGATGATAACCAGGAAGTGGAGTATCTGGCGCAACACGAACTCTTTGCCCAGATCCCAACACTCAAGTCGGACATCTGTGTGCCGGACTATTGCACCGTCTCCGGCGACACTCCAAGCAATGTGGACATCAAAGCCTGGCTGGGACCACGTCACACCATATCACCCATGCATAACGATCCCAAACACAATCTGCTCTGTCAAGTGTTTGGCAGCAAGATCATCATTCTAGCCTCGCCAGCGGACACACCAAATCTCTATCCACACGAGAGCGAGTTTCTAAATAACACATCGCAAATCGATGCAGCCATACCGGACTTTGAGCGTTTTCCATTGTTGCGAAGAACACGTTTCTATGAGTTGCTCTTACAGCCCGGCGATTGTTTATATTTACCGCCCAAGTGGTGGCATTACGTGCGCTCCGAGACGCCCAGTTTCTCAGTTAGCTTTTGGTGGGAATAGAATACCTTGTATTCCGTTGACGTATATATTCTAATTGATTTGATATGCGATTATAATGAAATACCTAAATTATCAATGTCCAAAGGTATGTCAGAAACATGACGTCATCTGCCATCGATAAATAGTCTGATGTTGATCTTGAATCGGAAAATATGATTCATAATAAACCTGCTCGTTGTTTGTTTAATAAGTTATAAATGTTATTTATTGAGTGTAGCCAAGAAATAAGTTTGGCTGCGGCAAACAAAAATAAAAAAGAATTAAGACATTTACGTTATAATACGAAACATTACAAATATAGCTTAAAAACATGAGATAATAAATCCAGTATTTCGTTATCTAACTTGTTGTATTTTATACATATTAATGCGTTAAGCTTTAGGCTTCTACTTGTTGTGTGTAGGCGTATGTAGTTTGTGTAGGTGTGCATTGTTTGCTCAATTTATAATCTTCAATAATCTTTAAGTAATTTCATTTTGATGCCTTTGCCCCCACCGCCGTTTTCTTTTCTTTTTTTTTGTTTTTCATTTTGAAGTCTTATCATTCTTTAAATATTATTGATGTAGCGTTCGCTTATTCATCTTTATCGGCTTTGCCAACGGCTCCAATGGTGATCTGTTTCTGCAGTTTGCTGTACTCCTCGGTCAACCGATCGTATTCGCGATTAAGACTCTCCGCCTGCGACTTGACTGCCTCCTTGTCCTTCTTCTCGCGATTCAAGTCGGATGTCAGCTCCTGGACGCGTTCCTTCAGCTTGTTGAGCTGTAAAATGGGTCGTGATTTCAATTTTGAAGCGTGGCTTTTTTTTGTGTGTGTGTGGATGTGTATTTGAGGAATGTGTTCGAAAGATTTAGGAAAATTTGGCGGTGAGTCCTTGCACACGTTTCCGCAGGCTTTTCAACTGTTTAAAGAGTGTTGACGAGAATGTTTTTTACTTGGTATATTTCTTTGGTTTTTATGGCCCAACATTTTAACCATGTGGGTGTATTAAATAACATATCGCGTGGATTTTGTACAGCTGGTGGTGAGTAGCGAATGGAACGCTCTAAAGGTGTTAGGAGGATATCTCTGTGTAAAGCTCTTTAAACATGCCTTGGAGAATCGTCAGGTGGACGGTGTGCAAAAACTCAACTTTCCAAAAATATATATACAAATAAATCTAAAACTTACCTCATTCAGTGTGGTGTCCTCGGTGGCCTCCTTAGCCTTGTCGGCCTTGTCCGTCATCAGGGAGCGTGCGGCGGCCGTGGCGCTCTGAGCCTGCTTCATCGATGCCTCGCTTTGAGCCAGAAGATTGGCCTGTGATGAGATCAGTGTGACCAAACGGCGGATGACAAGCACAAGGAAGACAGCAAAACCGCATATGTAGAAATTACGTTGGGCACGGAACAAACGCATGCTGTGCTGCATCTCCACATTGAGGTGAACCTCACCGACATTGTCAGTGCTGGAATATTTGCGCATCTCACGTATGGCGTCCAGCAGGAGCAGAACCAGCACACTCATTATAACAAAGAAATAGATGTGCGACTGCTTGCCAATCATGGCCAGAAATTTGGATTTGAAGAAACGATTCCATTTGTACGGACTGGCCACGGGCAGCACCAGCAGCAATACAACCGCAATTTCGGCGTACAAAAATCCGGCGATCAAAGTCCACACCAAACTCATTTTTGCAACTTTTTCCCTTTTCTTTTTTTTTTTTGTGGTAAAGTTAAAGGTTTGTTCGATTTTTCTTTTGCTCTCACTTTCGTATGCTGAAAAGAATTTGTTTTTTCTTCCTTAATTAGTATGAAATGCACACGTCTAGTTAGGCTATCCGTCTATTTATAAATGAGTACCGTGAATTGGCTTACTTTAAATAGGTATAGAAACTATAAAAAAGCGAATGATGAAATATATGTGTATTTGTATGCGGTCATTTGCGGCCACGTCAACTCTGCCGTCGAAATTTATGACAGAAATTGCGACGAGTTGGCAGCTCGGCTTGTAAACAAATGAGAAACAGCTGACAGCCCTGGTTGCCAGGCAAAAGCAAAATCGAACGAAAAACAAAATGTGCTTTTGCGCCATCGATCAAATTTAGTTTGTAGATTTCTTTCCATTCCATTCACAGAGACAAAATGTCCTACCAAAACTGGTTGAATTACTTGCAATCCGCCGAAAAGAACTCAATGATTAGCGGTCGGCTGCGCAAAGTGCTCTACAAGTTTCCGGATGGACGTCAAATGGCCGAGGAATACAATATGGACACGGGCGTAGTCCAACGACGAGCCTGGCGTAAGTGCAAGCAACTGATGGGTGAGCCTCAGTGGGAGATTGAGCTTGGCGAGGAGCCACGACAACTCAATTGGAGTGCCGCCAATAAGACAAATGCAGCTGCCGGTGGTGGTGGTGATGCTGACACCTTGTCTGCCGGCGAATTTACGCTGCGCGAAAGCAACTCAGCTCCGCTGCTAACCAAACGGGTGACGAAGAAGAACATTGAGTGGCGTATACGCAATCTGTCCTATCCGCTAAGCGTCTACAATGTTAGTGCCGATGCCGAGAAGCGTGCGATTATTGTGCGTACCAGCAATAAAAAATACTTCAAGGTGATACCTGTACCAGATCTGGATAGATGCAGTGTTCCCCCGCTGCAGGCCAACATTAGCACACATCATCAGTTCAATACTCTCATCATCACCTACACTAAGCCGGATATTCTGTGCGAGATGGAGGCCCAAGTGCTGCTGTTGCTGAAGAATGTGGAGACTGAAACCGATATGGATGATCTGCTCAAGGGTTTGATGGCCAAATAAAAAACGCATAGCATATAAAATACATAGATACATAGAAACTAAAAGTGTTACATTTTTTTGACTTGATCACGATTTACTTTTGAAAACTTTCGGCCATGCCGATATAGCTGGCCAGCGAGGGCGCCGATGAACTGATGAACATGGTGTAATCGAACGATGGCAACTCCAACGGTGTCAGTGATGGCATATCATGCTCTGAGCTGCGCTCCAATACTGAACAACTGTGGAACTCTTGACTTTCTGCCTGCGCATCGTTTTTTATCATTGCGTCCACTTTGAGCTCAACTAATGCTGGCGTTGTTTTAGGTATTCGATCCACAGTCGATGTAAACTTGGCATCGAAATCCTGCACGGTCTTATCGATGGCCTTGGCAACGGATTGCGCTGATCCGACGCCATGCTCGGGTCGCAGTGGCAGCATCGCACTAGTTTCCTTGAGTTGCACAAAATCCTTCATCTTGGTGAGGCCATGTTGCGTCTTACGCATCTCGATCTGACGCAGTTTGCGCTGAAAGTCAAGCGTTAATGTGTCCAACACCTCCTTCGATTTGGCCAATTGTACATTTTTATATGCATCTTGTAAATATATTAGCGAAGTCTCCAGCGCTTTGATTGCCTCCTCGTAGCGATGGTGACGCATAAACCGCTCGGAGCGACGTTCATGGAAATGCGCCTACGTGTTAATAACACGAATGAATTTTTACAAATTAAACGCAATTATTATGTTTTCTGTTTACCAAATTCAGCGGTGCACAATCCATGTTTTCTCTTTTGTTTATCTCTATTAAACTGCGCAGTATGTCAGCTGCTTGGTAACCCTGAAAGACAGCTGCTGATATATCGATAACTTCAGATAACAAATTTTTGACAATTAAATTGGAAAGTAAACAATCGTTTGTGTTCAAGCACATTTATATTTATTATTTCACTATTTCGTTTCATTAGACGGGAATATGGACATCGGTAAAGCTGAGGGATTCGAGCCTCCTGAAACTTCACCTTACCTAACTAAGCTTTATCCGTCGTGTAAAGAGTTTACGCAGAGTAAAGTGGCGTTAAAGTTGATTCGTGATGATATCAAAGAGTATCGAGTTAATGAGAAAGCAAAGAGACCAGTCGACCCACTTTTAGATGAAGCCATACGACGCACAGCAATCGCGTTTCGACTCCCACAACGTGAAGCGATCATTCATTTGAATGACGTCTTTGGCCAAGATCTACCAATTTGGTCATCTTCACCTGGGATTCCATGGAGTCAGATTGGCTACAAGACGAAGGATGACATCCGCAAAGACCCCGAAGCAGTACAGCGAGTACGGTATTTCTGGCACCAAGTCAAGGCTCGGAAGGACATCAGCTTGCCAGATTGCTGTGCGTACATGCGATTCCACTTGTGTAAAGTTGGAGATACAAAGGTGCGTGCAGTTTGGGGCTACCCAGCAACTGTCACTTTTGCTGAAGCCATGTTCGCTCTACCACTGATTAGAGCTTATCAGAAGAGACGAACTCCATTAGCATATGGATACGAAACTGGAACTGGAAGCATGCGGAAAATATTCCAGCAGTTTCAAGGCTCGCACTTCCTTGGTATTGATTTCTCAAACTTCGACAAAACTCTTCCGGCATGGCTAATTAAATTGGCCTTTGATGTAATGGCAATTAATTTGGATTTCACAAAATATCATGATCATGGCGTCCCCTGTACACGTTCAATAATACGCGTCTTTGAAACCTTGGAGGATTACTGTATTAACACCAAAATCAGAATGTGTAATGGTGAGAGATACTTAAAGCGATCCGGCTTAGCTAGTGGAAGTTATTTCACACAGCTTGTTGGAAGTATAAGTAACCATATCCTACTCCAATACGCAGCACTTGTCAAGAAAGTAGAAATCCAGGATATAGTGGTGTTCGGTGATGATTCACTGATGGGTACAAGATCGATACTCACACCTGACGACGTACAAGAAGTTCTTCGATCACTGGGAATGGTCGTGAATGTGGAAAAGTCAGGGTTTTCTAGAAGTGTGACAAACTTGACGTTCCTTGGGTACGGGGTAAACGGCGGTTTTCCATTAAAACACCACAAAAGATTTGTCGCTAGTCTGGTCTGGCCGGAGAGGAATGACAAATGTTGGGATGATGTCGCTTCTAGAGCACTAGGTATCATATATGCCAATTTAGGCGTTGATGATAGAATCGATTTATGATAAAAAAAAAAAATTAAACACTTATTGCTAAACAAAAATAAAAATAAAATGTCATTTTAGATCGGTTTAGCGTTTGCCTGTTTGCCCTCAGTCAGCGCTCGTGATGCATGCACAAAAACGGGAACGTTGATTCCCTGAAAATATGAATATTTGTAACGGAAATAATATTTACCATGGTCTAAAAAAAAGTACGCACCTGCATCTTAGCTGATCTGACAAATGCCTTATTGGAAGTAACTGTAAATATTTTACGTTCCATGCCAAAACTAAATATCTTTAGGCTACGTTCATTCACCTTAGCCGTAAATCGTATATTGGAAAACTCCTCGGGCAATTTCTCAACATCTGGATAAACCGTAACGCGTTTCATAAACTCAACAGCAAGTTCCCGTTCCTTGACGCCGCCGAGCACTGAGAGTATATTTTGAAATGCGTCGTTTGCCAATTGGCAGCACACCAAACGCTTGCCTTCAAATATCTTCTCAAGTATCGGTTTCACAGGACATTCACGCTCCTTCTCCGCCTGTTCGGTTAAAAGTGGTTCCTTGAACACAAAATTGCAGCCGCCGTTGGTGAGAGAACTGGTATAGGCCAGCATTGTGGTGACATCAATATTCAGCTCATCGGACATGGTGGCATATTGATCCACATCCATGTCGGGCTTCTCCAACGATGCCGTTTGCACTCCCATCTCCTTGAGTTCATCATGCAATGATGTCTCAATTTTGTTCGAGAAATAAAATACAATCTGAAAGAGATCTCTGTGAGAAAGAAAAAAAAGAAAATCTCGAATTGTTATGTTTACTTTGGGTCGATGAAACATGCAGAAATGCAACTCGCTGGCCTCCAAATAATCATTAGCTTGATCCAGAACGCTACGTGCCCCAAAACTGACACAACCACGGGCCGCCTCCTCGATGGATTTCGAGTTGCGCGCAATGACCTTAATCCATTTTAGACCGTTATTGGCCACAATATCAACTCGTAGCGGACTGTCCCGGGATTCGAGTGGAAATACAGCATTAATATCGACGACTCCTTGCTGCAGGCTCAGTGTTTTTATCAGAAATTCATAATTGACAAAGTTGCTGCTCGTGATGTGATTCTCTTTCAAGGTTTTTGTGCGTGTAACCTGATTGAAAGTGCATCTTAGATATATATGTATATACACTTGTTTAATTGAACTGAACAGACCTTTTCCAAGAATTTCAATTCCTGTTGTATTTTTCGTTGCACTTTGGCAACACCAGGAATGTCCTCGAACTCGACCAGCGCTTTTTTCAGCTCTTCTCCCAGCCTTATTTTATCATTTGCATCCTCATACAGACTTTCTTCCATCTCAATGGCCACCTGCTGGACTACTAAGGTAAAATATATTGTATTACAATATTATTGTCATCTGACAGCTGTTCATTCAGGGCTACCAAACTGAAAATATCGATATATCGTTATCGAAGCGCCTGCAACTATGTGCTTCTGCATGAATGCTGTCAAATGCCCACCGCGTTTTCCACTATCCACTTTTTCTTCACCGGTCAAGCCAAGCGGCGGCTCTGAAAAATGACGCCATTGGAGTGATTGTGAAAAAATTTAAATCCGAACGCATCATTATTAAAATGTGTCAATTCATTGAATAAGATAGCAAAAGGTAATTATCTAAGCCCTCAACTAATTGAATTAGTTAATATTTTAGTAATTATATGCGCACAAAGTATCTCCAGAAAGCAGAAATGTCTGCGATTTGGTCGCAATTGAAGAGTGCAAAATTAAAAAATCAAATGCTGCTTACTAGCATCGTTAGGCGACACGACTTATCCTTACTGTGGCCATGGTTTTCAAAGTAGTACAAACCCGTTTAAACAGCTATTTACTGCAAATTTATATTCACAATACGTTGGACGTTTCTAACCTAAAAATTTTTTTTTTCAGCAGTGCAATAATTTCGACCTGAAATAGCACAGCTTCAAAGATGTACTTGTATAATTTGACGCTCCAAAAGGGCACCGGCGTCACGCACGCCGTGCACGGCAACTTCTCGGGCGGCAAGCAGCAGGAGGTGCTCTTGTCACGTGGCAAGTCGCTGGAATTGCTGCGACCCGATCCCAACACCGGCAAAGTCCACACGCTGATGTCAACGGAAATATTTGGCTGCATTCGAGCGCTGATGGCCTTTCGCTTAACTGGCGGCACAAAAGGTTAGTTTCTCATTTTGTAATAAATTATTATATTTTATTCGACGCACAAAACCCAATTGAGGCAACTCCTTTTTGTGGTTGTCCCAGTTTGACCTTTTTGAATGTGTCTAGGTGCGATATGAATTAAACTTGGCGTCGCATTTGCCATAACCTCATTTAAATGGTATGGTGAACTGAAACTTCGAGTTACAAAAAAATCTAACCTCAAAATATTATTCTTTTTTAAAATAAGCATAATTTATATTTAATAAGTTTTTCAATCATTCTTTTCATAGATTACATTGTGATTGGCTCTGATTCTGGTCGCATTGTCATTCTGGAGTACATTCCCAGCAAGAATTCGCTGGAGAAAGTGCATCAGGAGACATTTGGAAAGTCAGGCTGTCGTCGCATTGTGCCGGGCCAATACTTTGCCATCGATCCCAAGGGACGTGCCGTGATGATTGGTGCCGTTGAGAAACAAAAGTTGGCCTACATCATGAATCGTGACACACAGGCGCGTCTAACCATATCCTCGCCCCTGGAGGCACACAAATCCAACACGCTGACTTATCACATGGTTGGCGTGGATGTTGGCTTTGATAATCCCATGTTTGCGTGTCTGGAAATCGACTATGAGGAGGCCGACTTGGATCCATCAGGTAAGAGAAATAAATACAAAGCGATCTATATTTTTCACTTGGCGCTTTAATTCCAGTGTCTGTGGCTAATAAATCCATGGACACTGCTTGTACTTAGCGCTAGATAAATGTGACCACTGAACCATTGGTGTTGCTGTAACTCACCTAGCAGCACTTCACTGATTTGTGGCCCACATTCTTCAATCTTCAGTTCAATCTCCTATATTATATTTCCTATATCTGTGAATTACAACAATTCCTATTTCTTAATTTGCAGGTGACGCCGCACAGCGCACACAGCAAACGCTAACATTTTACGAGCTTGACTTAGGCTTGAATCATGTGGTGCGGAAATACTCTGAACCACTGGAGGAGCATGCCAATTTTTTGGTATCTGTGCCCGGCGGCAATGACGGACCCTCGGGTGTGCTCATCTGCTCGGAGAATTATCTGACGTACAAGAATCTGGGCGATCAGCATGACATTCGCTGTCCCATTCCGCGTCGTCGTAATGATCTCGATGATCCGGAACGTGGCATGATCTTTATATGCTCGGCCACACATCGCACCAAGAGCATGTATTTCTTTCTGCTGCAAACCGAGCAGGGCGACATTTTCAAAATCACCCTCGAGACAGATGACGATGTGGTGTCTGAGATCAAGCTCAAGTACTTTGACACGGTACCGCCAGCAACGGCAATGTGTGTGCTGAAGACGGGTTTCTTGTTTGTGGCCAGCGAATTTGGCAACCAGTAAGTAAACTTGATCGATTTATGTGATGTTAAGCTTGGCTAACTTGCTGTTTGTCTCTTTGTAGTTATCTGTATCAGATTGCACATCTGGGTGATGACGATGATGAGCCCGAATTCAGCTCTGCCATGCCATTGGAGGAGGGTGAAACTTTCTTCTTCGCTCCACGTGCATTGAAGAATCTCGTTCTGGTCGATGAGTTGCCCTCGTTTGCGCCAATCATCACCTCACAGGTGGCTGATTTGGCCAACGAAGATACACCGCAGCTGTATGTGCTCTGCGGGCGTGGTCCACGCTCAACTTTGCGCGTTTTGCGTCACGGTCTCGAGGTATCCGAGATGGCTGTCTCGGAGCTACCCGGTAATCCAAATGCCGTGTGGACTGTCAAAAAACGCATAGATGGTGAGTCCAACAAAAGACTTTTTATCCATCAGCTTATTTACTAGAACTAAGTTTAGAATCTTAAGTTTGATAGCTGTGAAATGTTTCTAATAATTCAACTGGTGCATTGATGATACAGAACACGATACCCACGATAAACAATTTATGATTAATTGCTCTATATATATAAATATAGACTGTACTAGGATTGTTGATTTCGATATTTCTAACTGTCAATCTTGAGATCCTCAAAACATGAAAACATACATTCATATATGGCAAAATATTCTAAAAATAAAACAAAAAAAAATGAGATGAAAACCCTTCCTATAAAATGCGTTTGGCATTAAAATGCCAACAATCCTAGTCTGTATAAACTATATATAAACACGATCCCAAAAGCCACAAGTTATCAACCACCAGTTCTCTCTTATTTCAGGCGCTTAAACACAGACGTCAACAACTGTTTGTTGAGTGTGACTATCGAACAGATATAAAATTGCGAGTGTTATCCAATACTCCTCTCGTCTGTAATACTTATAATTTATATTTGTCTTTTGTGAAGCGATAGGTAAGGCAACATTACTGCAGCTCTTAAGTCAACAGATACTACAACAAATTGATACAAAAAACCTTTATTGAATTATATTTAAGCTTAAGACCTCTTGAGACATTGAACATGATGCGATATTTATCAACCGTGTTTCACCTGAATATCCATTGATTACAATTGATAAACTGATTATTCAATGTCGCCAAATTGACTTTACAATTTTGTTGTTGCTTTCAAGCATTTTTTTTATTGATGGCTGTTTGTGTTGTGCTCCTTATTTCTAGACGAGTTTGATGCCTATATCATCGTATCCTTCGTGAATGCCACGCTCGTGCTCAGCATTGGTGAGACCGTCGAGGAAGTGACGGACAGCGGGTTTCTGGGCACAACGCCAACATTGTGTTGTGCTGCTCTCGGTGACGATGCTCTAGTGCAGGTTTATCCCGATGGCATTCGTCACATACGCTCCGATAAGCGTGTGAACGAGTGGAAAGCGCCCGGCAAGAAGTCCATTACCAAATGCGCCGTCAATCAACGCCAGGTGGTCATTACGCTCTCCGGTCGTGAATTGGTCTACTTTGAAATGGATCCGGTAAGCATATAATTTTCATTTATCGAATCGATTAAGGAAATCTAAGTACAGTTGCCACTAGAGACTTTATTTTCTATACAACAAATAGATTAATTAACGAGAGTAGTTGCTGATCATATTTTCTGTGCTTAGTTTTCCTTTTTCCGCCCCACATTGCGCTGATGACAAAAACACGAAAAAGAACAATCATGTTGAGACACTCTGTGTCCTGCAGTGCTGAGCTTTAATTAGATAATGACTTTTATCTCTTAAGCCTGCTGAGCTGAATACTAATCTCCTTCTCTCCGCAGACTGGCGAGCTAAACGAGTACACAGAACGCTCGGAGATGCCGGCAGAGATCATGTGCATGGCTCTGGGCACTGTGCCTGAGGGCGAGCAGCGTTCCTGGTTCTTGGCTGTTGGCCTCGCTGACAACACTGTGCGCATACTCTCGTTGGATCCGAACAACTGTTTGTCGCCTTGCTCCATGCAGGCGCTGCCCTCGCCAGCCGAGTCGCTGTGTTTGGTCGAGATGGGGCACACGGAGAGCACCACAAACGCAAGCGGTGCGGATGAGGATGTACCTGCCCAGCGCAGTGGCAGCAATAAGGGTACAATCTATCTGAACATTGGCTTGAGCAACGGTGTCTTGTTGCGCACTGTGCTGGATCCCGTGTCTGGAGATTTGGCCGATACGCGCACCAGATATTTGGGCTCGCGACCAGTGAAGCTATTTCGCATTAAGATGCAGGGCTCCGAAGCCGTCTTGGCAATGTCCAGTCGCACTTGGCTGTCGTATTACCATCAGAATCGTTTCCATTTAACCCCACTGTCGTATGAGACACTGGAGTACGCCTCAGGCTTCTCCAGCGAGCAGTGTAGCGAGGGCATTGTGGCCATATCGACGAATACGCTGCGCATTCTGGCGCTGGAAAAACTGGGCGCAGTCTTCAATCAGGTGGCATTTCCACTGCAGTTTACGCCACGCGCCTTTGTCATCCATCCGGATACAGGACGCATGCTAATTGCGGAGACGGATCACAATGCCTACACCGAGGAGACTAAGAACGAGCGTAAGGAGCAAATGGCCGAAGAAATGCGCAGCGCTGCCGGCGACGAGGAGCGTGACTTGGCCAGAGAGATGGCGAACGCGTTCATCAATGAAGTGCTGCCCGAGGATATGTTCTCCGCTCCCAAGGCGGGACTCGGTCTGTGGGCTTCGCAGATCCGTTGCCTGGACGCCATGCATGGCCAGACGATGTTCAGTGTGCCGCTGGCACAGAACGAGGCCATCATGGCCATGGCGATGCTGAAGTTTTCAATTGCGGCCGATGGACGTTACTATCTGGCCGTGGGCATTGCCAAAGATCTGCAGCTGAATCCACGCATCTCGCAGGGCGGTTGTATTGATGTCTATAAAATTGATCCGACCTGCTCGGCTCTGGAGTTTCTGCATCGCACGGAGATTGAGGAAATACCTGGCGCCTTGTGTGGCTTCCAGGGACGCTTGCTGGCTGGTTGTGGCCGCATGCTGCGCATCTATGATCTGGGCAAGAAGAAGATGCTGCGCAAGTGCGAGAACAAACACATTCCCTACCAAATTGTCAACATCCAGGCGATGGGTCATCGCGTCTACGTCTCCGATGTGCAGGAGTCTGTCTTCTTTATACGCTATCGTCGCGCCGAGAATCAGCTCATTATATTCGCGGATGATACGCATCCACGTTGGGTGACTGCGACAACGCTCTTGGATTACGATACGATTGCCATTGCGGATAAGTTTGGCAATCTGAGCATTCAACGACTGCCGCATTCGGTCACTGACGATGTGGACGAGGATCCAACTGGCACCAAGTCGCTCTGGGATCGTGGTTTGTTGTCGGGCGCCTCACAGAAATCGGAGAACATCTGCTCGTTCCATGTGGGCGAGATAATCATGTCGCTGCAGAAGGCCACCCTCATTCCTGGTGGCTCAGAGGCCCTAATCTATTCCACGCTGAGTGGCACGGTTGGCGCCTTTGTGCCGTTCACCAGTCGCGAGGACTATGACTTCTTCCAGCATCTGGAGATGCATATGCGCAACGAGAATCCGCCGTTGTGTGGTCGGGACCATCTCAGCTACCGCAGCTCCTACTACCCGGTGAAGAATGTTCTCGATGGTGATCTGTGCGAACAGTATTTATCGGTTGATGCATCCAAGCAGAAGAGCATTGCGGGCGACATGTTTCGCACTCCGAATCAGATCTGCAAGAAACTGGAGGACATTCGCACCCGCTATGCGTTCTAAATAGGTAAGCCAGAACTTTGGGAATATTATCTGGGTAGGGGGAATTGCTTTCTATGATGATATATATATATTACCTTGGGACACCTATGAAATATGCCTTGATTAGTGTAAATTTTAAACTGACAAACATTGAGGAACTAAATTTGCTTGTTTTTTTAAAGTTATTCTTACTAAATAACTTGTATTTTATTTGCAGTTTATACTTGGATACACAGAAGCAAGAACACATAATTTTATATATTTGTCTATAAGGTGAGTTGTGCTTAATTTTACTTAAATATAATTAACGTAATGATGAGCTACGTTTTTACCTTGGGACACCTATGAAATGCCTTGATTAGTGTAAATTTATTATCGCTGAAATTTAATTGAACTTATCTTTAGTTTAAATGTAGTTAAACAGTTGATCTAATGTTTTTCTTACATTTGCAGTCGTATCCTTTACCCAGGATTGCGGATCTCTCAAGCGGCGGAACCCATTTGAGAAAACTTAAAAGGTGAGAATTGTTTTAAGGGACATACAAACATTTTATATTATACAATGATGAATTATCATATGTTAGACTAATGAAAAATTTTGAATAAAATTCGATTCACTGAGCTCAATATTTGAAAGAATTTTATATATAAAACACGACCTACCGAATTTTAATGCAGATTTTGTTTTCTATATTTTACAGGTCTTGCGCCTTTGGGAGTCCTTTGGGTTTCTGTCTTAAATTTTTTAAATACTAGGTAAATATTAAAACTTGAATCGATATTATTTAATGTACGCTAACTTATTGCTTCTCTGTCTATTGCAGTTTAAATATGTAGTTGGTAATACTACTTAGCCATTAATAATACACAACATACACAACCACTAAATGACTGCCTATTTATATTAGATGTAATTGTTGCACAAATTGAAATATTTGTGCAGCTTATTTCATAGCCACACTGTAATTTAAGCATGATACAAACAAAATAATAATAGAAAACACACTAAAAGCATGTTTTAATAAAACTTACATTTATATGAAACTTTGTGTTGGATTTTGTATTCATAGATGACCCGATAATCCTTGAACACAGCACCATGTCCTCCCATAATCTGAGCGATGTGTGCGACGCCAATGGCCCATATAAGTATGCAGCATAATTTATAGTCTCCAATTGTCTTACAGCATCACGTCCATTTTGCAGCCTAAAAGCATGCTTTGTATGTTGTGCGCGTTGTGGAATGGAAACAATGCGATCCGCCCCAAGAGTATGCAGTGGTTTTATGTCACCATTAAACCATGTATAATTGACTGATACACCCAATTAAAAGCATGTTAATCACAGTAAAACGCAATTTTACTTTTTAATTTTTCATTAGAATATATGCATTTAAATATGTATTTCCTAAGCGCCATTCAATTAAATAAATAATCGTAAAAAATACAACAAAAAGAGTATTGAGAAAAAATATATATAAAGAAATGCCTAAGCTAGTTTATAGTAGCTTAAAAGCCATACTGTAATTTAAGCCTTATATGACCATAATAATATATAAATACAGATACAGCATAAATAAAAATACAAACATCCAAAGTGGCTTGTAATCTGCTTGTGTTCTTGTTAGTAACATGATTGTTGTTGGCTTGTTCTTGGCCTTGTTTACGAGCCACTCTTTACCGTTATGGCATCTGCTAAACGTCTCGTGTTCGCTTCTCTCTTCTATCTCCTATCGTACTTCTCTATTGGTATGTGAGCGAAACCAAATTGTTGTAATTTGTTATGTACGGAGTTATAAGCACAGTGTAGTTATGCAAATTGCGTGCATTCTGCTGCTGACTTGGCCCGGTGGTCGCGATCGACAAACAGGCCATCATACAGCATCCGCAAAGTGTTCTACTTTACAGCGGGAGATACAAAGAGGAAGAAAGGAGGGGCAAGAGGGGGTTTGTCTGCGAGCCTGGCGTTGAGCCATCTGGTTAAACGATTTATTAACTTCATTTCTAGATCATTAGATCGCATAACACGGACATTCATCACTTGTTTGCTCTGTTTATTTTATTTTGTCTTCTTTTTTTTCGCGAACGTGAGGCAACACGCAAGCGTGCAACAGCAAGAACAGCAACAACAGTATATCTAAGCTGCATCTACGCATGCAATTCACGCCACTTGTTGCAGCTGCGGCAGCAGTTGCAGCAGCTTGGCTGCGATCGCGCCAGAGATAAGAACAATCAACGCTTGGCGCACAACACTTGCCACTTGTTGCATGCTGCCTGCCCTACCATATGACGCCCACTTTTTGTTTGTCTTGCGCCTGGAAGCTGTTTTCCATTGCGATTTGAAATGCGTTCAGAAAAAGCAGCCTCGCCGTAGTAGATGATTACACGGAAAAAAATCAGTACAATACAACAACATTTTTGAGAAAGTAAATTTCAAAGAAAAATTTATAGCTGGATCTTTTAAATATTCATACTTTGAGATGGAAGTATCCAAAACAATTCGATAGGGCATTGCATATGTACTCTTCAGTAGCTGTAAGGTTAGTTTTTCTTTGAGTGCAGTTGCTGATATAAACGCCAACTGCCTCGGATGTCCTGCCTGGGCTTTTGTATTGTGTGGTTATGTGGGGCGTCGTCTATATTATCAGCTCCCGGCAATCACCGATCTGTGCATCTGAGAATCAGCGTTCAACTTGGCTTCATGCTGCACACAGATGCTTATCACACAAAAATGCCTCGCGTGATAAAAAATTCGCATGAAACGCGCTTGTGACTTGGAGGCGACTCGAATGGAAATGGGTGTTAACGCAGCAACTTTTCAGCTGTCCTCTCTTCGGGCTCGCGTGTAAGAATTTTCTGCGAATTCGCGCTGAGATTTTAATCAGATAGATGTCTGGAGCCTGACATGGACTTAGACTTGGCGCTGTTGCTGTTGCTGGTCATGGAACATGGACATGGCGCTGGCTGGCTAACTTGTAGTTGTGGATGTAGACACTTTCGCTGCAAATTAAATGCTCATTTTCCGGGCACATTTTCCAGTCACGTCGTTTCACAGTTAGCAACTTTATTAAAACTAACGGCAAGCCACAAATAATTAAAACGCAACACACAAAAAATGAAAGAGAAAAAAAGGAATTGCAAATTGCGGACCATGTAATAAATAGAATCATCAGCTTTGCCAGCGCGGTCAGCCAGACAAGCTAAAGTCAGGGTCTGGGTCTGGGTCTATTTCACCATCACCATATCATCATCATCATCATCATCATCATCACCATCATTTTCATCATCATCAGGCAGGCATCAAGCAGCGGTAGCAGCAGCCTGCAGCAGACGCGAATACTCCGAGAAGTATTATTTTAATTCACTTAGCAGCTTTGGACGTTGATTTTTAAGGCATTCGAGCAAGTGAGGCACAGCTGTGAGCCGCTTAATCTGCACCTGACAAACCAATTATAAAGCCGTGATTTCGATGTGTATGTGGTAGTATAGATATATATTTATATATACATATAGACTCTTTACGCTACGCTGTTAATGTTTTGGGTTAAAGCACAGGAGTTCTTATCTACATTTTCTTAATATCCTTAGCCAGTTGAGTTGAGACAATTGTGAACAGAAAATTAGAAATAATTAAAAAATTGTTTATGTTTATAAGTCATAATAAAAATAATAACATTGCATAATCAAAGGATTAAAATAAGGATTCGATTAAAGAAAACGATTAAGAAAATGTAAATTTCATTAGAAACTGAAGATCAGAGATGATGAGTAGTAAATGTCACTCGAGAAAACACGAAGATTACGCCAAACACTTGAGTCTCATTTTGCAACAGTCTGCTGTCTCGAATGTGGACCAGCTGTGGGTTCTTACCAACAACCAGAAGAAGACATTTTGCAACCGCAAATTGCTGATGCTTGGCCCACAGAGTGGGAGAAAGAGATAGACAGGCAGGGAGGGGGGAATAAGAATGACACTGGGCGTCTACATCCAATTCCCGGCTGAAGTTCTGCTGTCAGCAATCTCTCGTGGCCAGTTTATATATATAAATACATATGTGTATATATCGCATGCTTGGCTTTGGTTCACTTCTGCGCTGCGCTGACCCCATTCAATGTCATTAACTTGGCCCAAGGTTTGTTTGTTTTGTCTCGCAATCTTCACATAATTGCCTGCAAAATTATGAAATGCGAGAAAGACTTCTTCTCTTTTGTCCGTTGCTTCTCTCTGTTAATCACCCACGAAACTTATTTGAATTTGCCCAGGTTGTCAGCAACTGTTGCCAATTTGGAATTCGTCCTCATGCGATCCTTGCAACGAACACAACGACAAAAAACTTCAAACTGCAAACAGTAAACGTTTCAGTCATTTAGTCAACAATCTGTTGCATCTAATTGTCTTTGGAACAAATTACTCAATTCCGTGATGTCTGGTGTCTGATGTCCGATTCAGATGCTCTCAGATAGCAGATGGAGATCAGTCTTCTGATTTGATCTTGCCCTCTTTTTTCCTCAGCCCCTGCTGCTTTTCTCTCAACAGGTTTGACATAATTCACTTTTCAGTTTACTTTGTTTTGAAGAGCACAAATTTGCACGCAGCTGAAGCTGAAGCTGACTTGATGATGACGATGATGCGTTGAGTAGAGTAACTCAATTCGCAGTCTTTCTTTCGTCCTCCGTTTATTTCAGCCTCTTTAGAAACATACACTTTTGTGGGCGTGGGGCACTTCCGCAAGCAATTTACTGCAGTTCTTGGGCGGCGGGCAAAATGAAGCATTTTAATGCTGAAGTCGACGATTAAAATCAAAGCCATAAAAACACGGCAAAACAACTAAATATATTCTAGTTGAGAGTTTGAGAGACTATCAAATACTTTAGGAAAATATATAAAAATAGAGAACTTATCAATTACAACTTTACTTCTTTGTATCAATTTTTAATAATAATAATTTTTAAATTTGTATTAAGAAATACTTGAAATTTATATTTGCAAGCCAGATTTTAAGCTCTCCAGCTGCGATAAATGTTGAGATCAGGCTAGATCGTCTCGACTCTTGATCAGGAACATGAATAATTTATGATGTTATAAGTATTAAGCAACTTTCTTTATTAGTGTTACAGAGTATACATAAAAACAAAGAGCTGCAACACTTGGTAGATGTCGAGAACGCAGTTGCAGTTACAGCCGCAATTGTAGTTGCAGTTGCAAGTTGCCCGATAAATACGTTGATCAGTCGCACAGCAGATCATCAACACGAACATGCCGCAGCAACAACAACAACAACGAACTGTGGAGACACGTCAGCAACGAGCCATAAAAACGGGAGCAGCGTGCAACATAATTGAAAGCAATTTGCGGCTGACTCTCGTGAGGTAAAGTGTTGCTGAGGAGGGGGAACGGGTGGGGCCAAGGCGATGAGCAGCCGGCAAGCTGGCGAACGTCGGCATAAACATTACATTGATTGCCATTGCCTGCCTCACAGCATATATAACACACACACACACACACGCACACACACACACACACACTCAATAATCACACGTGTTGTTTGTCAATGCAGTTGGCGCTTTTGCTGCCGCCCCTCTTCTTCTTGTCCACAAATCGAAGGGGGTTCTCGGTTCGAGCGGAAGTCGCTTAGTTCCGGCAATCTGGGCAGCTGCTGATCATCTGCACCTGAAACACATTTGTTGCCGCCGCAGTTTCCCCCCGTCCTCCTCCCCCTCCCCATCCTGCTGGCTGTCAGCCCATTTTAATTTCAGTTCTTACGCAATTGTGCATTGAACGCCTTTTGATTTTCAGATCTCTTTGGCCCGGCAATTTGGTTTTCTTTTCGTTTTTCTTTTTTTTTTACCACTCAACCGTAATTGCAAACAGCTGAGCAACATGTGCAGCCAGTTTTATTTCAAATCGATCGAAATACACACTAACAAATATTGGGCAAGATTGGGGCAGCATTTTCAGCGATAGTGGGGAGTGACCAAAGTCAAAGATCATTAACATAGCTTAAGAGCACATTCCAAAAATGGGTGACAGTATTTGGGCGAGTG